GGACACACACACACACACACACACACACACACACACACACACACACACACACACACTTTCTCTCTCTCTGACAGTGACCTGCTGCCTTCAGGATCAATCAGTAGTATAGATCACACAGACCTCTAGATCCTGTTCCATTAATTACAGACTGATGTGTTTACAGAGGCGGGGTGGCGGGTAGAGAAGTGAGGGAGAGACAGAGAGTGAAGGTTAGAGAGTTAGGGAGAGAAAGCAATAAAGAGAGAATAGAGAAAGGGAGAGGAGATGAAAAGAAAAGAGGAGAAGAGAGAGGTGGAGAGAGAGAAGAAAAGAGAGAGAGGAGAAAAAGAGAAAGGAGACAAAGAAGAGAGAGAGAGAGAAGAGAAAGTGGAGAGAGAGGAGAAGAGAGGGGGAGAGAAAGAGGAGAAAAAATAGAGTAAGGAGAAGAGAGAGTGGAGAAAGAGAGAGGAGGCGAGAAAGAAAGAGTGGAGAAAAGAGAGTAGAGAGAGAGGGGAAGAGAGACAGAAGAAAGAGAGAAAGTAAGATGAGAAAAGAGAGAGCAAGATGAGAAAAGAGAGGAGAGAGAGGAGAAAAGAGAGAGTAGAAGAGAAGAGAAGATAGAAAGAGATGAGAGAAAGAGAGAAGAGAGAGCACAGAAGAGAGAGTGAAAAAAGAGTACAAAGAGAACAGACAGAATAAGAGAGAGAGGAAAGAGAGAGGAGAAGAGAGAGAGTAGACAGAGAGTAGACAGAGTAAGAGAGTAGAGGGAGAGAGGTAAAGGAGAGAGAGGGAAAGAGGAAGAGGAGAGAGAAAGATTAGAGAGAGGACAAAAGAGTGAGTAGAGAGAGAGAGAGAGAGAAGAAAATTTACTCACAAATATATTTGATAATTAACTTTTTTTTCTCTTTCCTTTTATAAACTACATACACATATTTAATAGGTTTTGTTTTATTATTACTTTATTATACACTTTTATATTATTAATTGATAACACTTTCTCTTCTTAATTATTGCATTATCATATTAATCTTGGTTTATATTTTGTTTTATTATTGTTTTGTTGTTTTCTGTTTTGTCTTTTTTTTTATTAACTTTTGATATATAGATCATTTTTGTTGTGCTTTGACAATACAAATGTACATTTGTCATGCCAATAAAGCAAACCTGAACTTGAAGTAAGGAAAGAGTGATGAGAGAAAAAAAAGAGAGGAGAGAGAGGAGAGAGAAAGAGTAGATAGAGTAGATAGAGTGATAGAGTAGAGAAAGAGAAGAAGGAAGAAAGAAAGCAAGTAAGAGAGGGAGAGAGAGAGCAAGAGGAGAAGAAAAGAGAGAGCTGGGGCATTGTTTGTGTTATCTGTCCTGAACTATTAGTATAAGAACAAACACTGTAATCAGAATCGCTGGACTGTGGTATTCATGTAATTTTCTGACCGTCTCTAATGTTGTGCTGTATTTTCACTCCGTACTGACGCTCCTGTGCTGGAGAACCAACACTAAATGTTCCTAATTTGTGAAGTGTGTTATAAACCCCTTGCAATGAACTGCGGCCTTCATAACGACCCCCTAATGAGCTTCTCGAGACTCCCCCAAACAGATCCAGACTCTTTGTCCCCAAAACTACCTACTGGGCAACAACATCCATCTACAGAACCGAGAGCCAGCGGCAGATACGGAATTGCAGTTTCAGGGCTTCCTGTGGTTTTAGGTCTGCACTGGCTACCATCTAGTGTTAGTATAATACACAGATAGCTAGTAGCTACATCCAGATTCGCTAGCTATGAGAGAAATAGTGCGATATGATAAATGTTATTTGAATTGTCAACAATAAATTTATGTAGTAAATGAGTTACTGAGTGAATCATTCTTAAAAACAAAAAGGACAGCAAAACACTGACTTTCTGCTCAGCGTTTTCTGAGCGACCCACTGGTGTTTAAGCGGAGTATTAGGCCCAATTCCATTTCACCCCTCGCCCCTACCACTTAGCCCTACCCCTCCCTTTTGCGCACCGTTGAGAAAGAGGGGTGGAGCAAAGTGTTAGGGCTACATGGCCCTCCAAACTGAGGTTTTTCAGAGACACTCCAAACAGAGTGTTATGTGAAAAAAAGAAAAAGCCAGCACGATGGCTGCACAAGAGACCAAAGAAACACACAAATGTGAGAATTTTCTAAGTTAAAAATTATGATAATCATTGTATATCTTAGTTTAATGGTGTTTTAATGATCACAAGCATAAAAAAATGCTAGTAGTGCTGATGTCTTGGTAGCTAGCTAGCTAAATTTCCCGTTCCACCTTAAATGGTGCAGCAGTTACATTCTGGAGCCTCAGGCGTCAGAGCTTACCATTTAAGGTGGAACGTGAAAATTCCTCCAAGAAGCTGGCGAATAGCTGACTTCAGCTTCATATCACTGAGGAATTAGGGGCGGGTGATAATAAATGATCATCCCTCTTTGAAGGCATGTGATGCTCTAAATGTAACTAAAGCAAAGCAGTGAGGAGCTGAATTGTACCCTCCTCTGCCATCACTGCAGACTGGCAGGGTCACCTACAGAGCAGCGCTAGTAGCCTGTTAATGAAGTAATGTTCTTTTTTATTTGAGGGTTGTTCCATTTCATAGGGAAGATTTCAACCACTAACTCAGTTCCAAGGAGCAAGGTGACACTTGAAAACAAGGGGTAGGGGTAAAAATAAGAAACAGGATTGGGCCTTAGACAAAATGCCACTTTTCAGCGCTCATTTTACACTCCCAGTCCAATTTACTTACTTTTCTTCCACTTCTTTCTTTTGTCATCCTTTGTAAATTTGTTTAGTAAACAATTTTAACAGTAATATAATAAATAAAGCCTGTAATACAGTTATAACCAATTTAGCACAAAAACAGTGTGAGCAACAACTAAATCATTTAGTATTAGGCCTAGTCATTACTTTTTCTCTCAACTGTTTGTAATCAGTCTTGTAATCACTGTTTATTTTCCAAAATAAGAGGCTGCGTAAATTGAAAATCCATTTGATTTAAACCTCAAAACTGGAGTAAGTGATTTTGCAGAAACCAGGAAGTGCAAGCTAGTTTTTGAAAAAATTCAACCAAAAAAAATCCCACCCTCTACTTTCAGCCCTCCTTCCAAATCCATGCCCCAAAACACAAAATGGCCTGACTAGTCACAACAGAGAGTGTTGCAACTAAATAAATAAATGCAAATAAATACAAATACAAATAAATAAAAATAAACACATATAAGCTAGCTACATCACCTCATTTGTAAAACGTCCCATTCAAAGCCAATATAGACTAACATAATACCATCAAACCACACTTGCTCAAAACTGCAATGCAGGCATTGTCCAGCATGCACAAACATTTAAACTAAAGTACTAATTGCTTGGCTTAAAATACTGCCCTTAAATACAAAGTATTAGACCCCAAAATTACATTATCCCTAACAACTTGAGGGTGCACAATATGCAGATCCAGACCTGCACCCTCTAGTGGTTAGGAGGAGTGTTACCTGTTGTAATTAAAGTTATTTACAGCTGGTTAAGCCACAGTAGCTAACTTAATTATTGACTAGAATTAACTTGGCTTGTAAGTCCTGACGAAATGACAAAATGATCTTAATGACTAATCTAGTGCTGTGCTGCACTGGAATATATTTTTAAGTGAATGCCACATGATATAAACCATATTAAGTTAAATTCCATATGCCACATAAAGTTAGTCTGAATAAATAAATACTACACTCTTTAAAAGGCTTTGCTTCAACAGTTCTTTAGTAAAGAAAATAGTTCTATACTCAAAGAACCCTCAAAGAGTTTTTTGCATCATGAAATGGTTCTTCAGATTGATGGAAAACATGCTGTAGATGGCTTTTGAAAATGGTTCTACAAAAGGGTTCTTCTTTTGTTACAATGTCAAGCTTGTAACAATAGAAAAACCACCGTGAGTGCTATATACACTATATTGCCAAAAGTATTCACTCATCCATTTAAATCATTGAATTCAGGTGTTCCAATCACTTCCACGGCCACCGGTGTATAAAACCAAGCACCTAGGCATGCAGACTGCTTCTACAAACATCTGTGAAAGAAGGGGTCACTCTCAGCAGCTCAGTGAATTCCAGCGTGGTGCCGTGATAGGATGCCACCTGTGCAAGTCCAGTCGTGAAATTTTCTCGCTACTAAATATTCCACAGTGAATTGTCAGTGGTATTATAACAAAGTGGAAGCGATTGGGAACGACAGCAACTCAGCCACGGAGTGGTAGGCCACGTAAAATGACAGAGCGGGGTCAGCGGATGCTGAGGTGCATAGTGCGCAGAGGTCACCAACTTTCTGCAGAGTCAATCAATACAGACCTCCAAACTTCATTTGCTGAAGCATTAAGATTCCATTTTCATAAACCATTTTCATAAAAAACCCTTGAAGAACCATCTTTTTATTTTGATATTTAACCAATTGTTTGATACTTCAGTGAATACTTGCTAGCACACTGCAAGTATTCACTGAAGTATCAAACAATTGGTTAAATATCAAAATAAAAACAAAATATCGACGGCCTGAATTCAATGCACCCTTAAGTTACCCTAACCACTAGGGGGCGTAAACGTAAAACCACATCATGCCCTGAAACTGCAGGTGTGGAGCTTCTCAGGCCAGTAGATGGATTCATCTCCCACTGGGCTCAACAGAACAGACACCGGCATTCCCCTCCTCCCTCAGCTAATGGCATCAGCCAGGCAAGGTGATTGCCTCTCGGAGGAGAGACAGAGAGACCAAGGTGAGAAAGAGAGAAAGAGTGAACGAGTCTCTTCCTCCAATCAGCTCAGAGCACATGAGGCTCTACAGGAGAGGAAGGGATGAAGGGGAGAGAGAGGCAGAAGCCAAAGCAAAATCAATTCTCATCATCGCTCAGCCAGCTGAGACTGAGTGTGTGTGTGTGTGTGAGTGTGTGTGTGTGTGTGTGTGTGTGTGTGTGTGTGAGAGACGAGGCAGGTAAAAGGCCGGAGTGTAAAGATTGAGACTTTACCTCTGCAGATGGTGCCGTTTCCCACGTAGCCCGGCTTACAGGTGCACAGGTGGCCGTGGATGGTGTTGGTGCAGATGGCGTTTTCATCACACAGACTCTGTCCACCGGCGCACTCATCACGCTCTGAGAGAGGAAACAGAGGATTAGTGCGCATTTAAAGGGCCCAAAACATGAGAAAACAAATTTGCCTCATTGTTCATATAATATATAAACATTGCTGAAGTTTAAAACATATCGTTCATTCTTCAGTCCATACAGTCCATACATGGAAACTAAACAGCAAAAACAGACTGTTAAGAATTTACTGTTTTTGTGATGTCACAAAATCCAACTCATTTACACACTGCATATCCACTTATGTAGGCTACAGCAGTTTGTTATTGTTATTCCCTGTAGTTTTTATAATATTTTTATATGTGGCACTAAAGGCTTTATTTTGTCTGTTACTTATTAAATCTTAAAATAAATATTAAAAATATATAAAAATAAATATTGTGATGCATTTTGTGTATCGTGAAAATGTTTTGAAGTATTGTGATATAATATTTCTGCCATATGGCCCACCACTAGATGGGAACATACAACATGTTTAGAATCTGCATCTTCAACAGAAGGTCCCCGCCTCTTTCAATGAGCTACAAGTCAGAAACAATTAACATAAAATTACGGCATGCTTTTCATATTGCTAGCGATAACTGCGACTTCTAAGGGTTAACTGAGCGCCGCAGAAAGTGACCCAGCGCGGAAGCGGATGAGGCAGCTCGAGTCTTGATTCATAACACATGACTAATAATGGAAATTAGTCCAATAAATATTTCAGACGCATTTACTCAAACATGAAATTAGCACTGCTAATGCTAATGGGGTGAACTCTTGCTTGCGCTGAGTTTCTGAATAGCATGTGTTTGTTCTGGAGGCGAACACGCCGTTTCTGCAGAGCTGCTTCTCCTCAGCTCCAGCAATGACAGGACAATGTCATCAGTTTAGGAAGGTGAAGATCTCAGGAGATCTCATAAGGCTAAATTACCCCTCCGCCTCCTCCCCGTCCCATCTGAGGCTGCAGTTTGATGGCCATGGGCCTGAGCTCTGATGAGAGCGGAGAAAAATGGGCCCATTAGCATGGACATTGTTCATCAATATGCAAAAGCCATCTTAATCATGACTAATACATTCCCTCCTTAATTAATGACTTGTGCTTATTGAGCCCTTAAGCAAATTGAACACATTATTCAACACTTTTTCCCCTTTTCCTCTACAGGATTTCCTCCTCAGGCGTGACGAGTGGACGAAGTGTGGATGAATCTTGGGGAATCTGCAGAAGAACTACAGTGAACAGACAGAATGTCTGAGATTTAAGAGTAGAGTGGTGAATAGTTTTGAATATTTAATTTGGAGTGACCTTTTCCCCAATAAAGTGCAGAGCAGGGATGGATGATATATGGATATGGATATATGGATGATATAAAAAGAGTTTCTGATATCTGGACAATAATGGTTAATACAATAATAATAATAGTTTCATCATTTTACATTTTTACAAATACATCTGCTATATACTTTAGGTCATGCTATTTAAAATTCTAAATATATAGAGAAAGCAGATGAGCTGCCGTGGAACCCACAAGTGCTGGCCAACAGCACTACGACATGCAGGGGCAGGGTGGGACCTATGGACTACACACGGCTGGCCATCGCTAACGAGGACAGACGGCACGTCGCCGGAACCCGGCACAAAAGAGTCTCTCCAGCCTCAGTTGGAGGGAGGCCATCGACAGAGCGCCACTCTAATCTCTCTCCTCCGTTCTCTCTCTCCCTGAACAGGCACCTCGACAGACACCGAGCCGGAACCAGACCTAATGCTACCCAAACTCGCGCCAAGCCTCTGTGCCTCCTCCAGATACCGTCCAAGCCTCTGGCTTCCCGTCAAGTTGGATTAAGGAGGACTTTGGAAGAGACTTTTTCATTTTTTCCCTACCTCTATTCAGGCAAAGATTTTGGTTGTTTTTTTCTTTTTCCACCTATATTTGGGTTGATTCCTCCCAATATACATACAGCGATCAGGCATAACATTATGACCTCCATACCAAAAATACCAAACCAACCAAAAATATTCAGCCAAAAGCGTCCTGTGGGCACCGTCCTGTGACACCTGATGATGGACTACAGGATGACCAGAACAACTATGCAGCAGCAGATCAGCTATCGTCTCTGACTTTACATCTACAAGGTGGACTGACAAGGTAGGAGTGTCTAATAGAGTGGACAGTGAGTGGACACAGTGTTTAAAAACTCCAGCAGCACTGCTGTGTCTGATCCACTCAGACCAGCGCAACAAACACTAACACACCACCACCACGTCAGTGTTACTGCAGTGCTGAGAAAGATCCACCACCCAAAATAAACCTGCTCTGTGAGGGTCCATGGGGGTCCTGACCACTGAAGAACAGGGTAAAAGGGGGCTAACAAAGTATGCAGAGAAACAGATGGACTACAGTCTGTAATTGTAGGAGTACAAAGTGCACCTATATAGTAAATGGAGCTGATAAAATGGACAATGAACGTAGAAATGAGGAAGTGGTCATAATGTTATGCCTGATCAGTGTACAAATATTATGATACACCTTTTAATGACACAAAGTTCTGTTTATGTTCTCATAAAACTAAACATGGTGAGACAAAGTTTGCAGCTTAAAAGCTTTCTTTCACTCAGTTGGTGTCAGCATCTCAGACCCTCAAAAAGCATGTGATCATACCTTTTTCAGGTGATCACGTTTTCACACATTTTTTTCACATATGAACTCAGTGTTTTTTCTAACAGTGAGGAGCACACTTCTGTACATGTAAGTGCACAACACACTGCAAAAAAACCCATAACATAAAATAGCCTGGGCAAACTTAAGCTACATTTTATATATAAATATTTTTTCCAATATGTAAAACTCAGCAAATAAATATAAAAAAATACACAAAATGTCATATTTAAGTGTATTCTCTATAAGGAAAATCAGCAAAACATGTAATTTGTGCAAGACTGTTCAAACTTTTGCATACAACTGTATGTCTGTCACAGCCACCTGAAAACAGTAACATTCTCTATTCATTACAAAAGTTAGGAGAAGCTTAAAAAATAAGCTAGGACACCAGTTTGGTTAGTTAGAACAGTATTTGCTAAATTCAGGATGTTTGTGTAATACTGTTTTCGTATCCGGAGTTAATGGATAAGATTTTAAAGTTAGAAACTTTTATTCTGTAATAGCTACTGTCCTAAATGCAGTCCTAACTGAAGTTATCATGATGTCAAAGTTAGGATGTTTCTCCTGTGGTGTAGAGTAAGGCTGATACACTATGCAGCAACAAATGAGCTACAGTAACTGTAAATCTACAAAGTGCACCTGTTTGGTAGGTGTTTCCAATAAAGAGGCCAATAAGCGTAGCTACAGGGCAGGTGAACAAAAAGATCATAATATTATTATAATAAAGTGCCCAGTGAGTGCATGTTATTACAAATTAAAAGTATTGAGAAATCACATTACTAAAGTAGAAGAGCAGATTAAAGGGCAGACATAGCCACATTTTTGCCTCTGCATTAAAGCGTTAACTCCAATCCTGTAAATGGCAGCAGGCTTATGGGTTGGGTTCTGCCTCAGGGTGGACGTAAAGCATCTGGGTTTGAGCTAAAGGTCTCTGAGGCTCATGCTGGGTCATCAGCGTGCATTAAAGAGCCTGTATCTGTGATATAGCAGACAAGCAGCAGGTCAGCCTCACCGTAATCATGCATAACGACGGGTCATCACAAAGCGCACTAACAGAGCCTGACCACTGTCCCCCGTGATTGGATCTTGATGAGAGGATTACAGCCTGGCCAAAGGCAATTTCCCTTTTCCAAAGCCCCACCATTACACAATTTACATCCTCCTGACAGCTCGTCTATCTGCTGCCTCACGCTCACCTGCAATCATACGGATTCTGCTTCTGCCTGAGAGAACAGGGCACCTTCAAAACAAAGCAAGAAATAGAGAAGGAGACTAGATGAGAATTTAAAGAGGCATTTCCACCTCTTTTTTACATTCAGGTGTCTTTAACTGGTGATCCTATGTCTGCTAGAAGCAATGCAACCTATGAACATATCCTGGAGGAGGTGTACACATACACGTTCAGAAATAAACGTATTAAACTGTCACTGGGGTCAGTACCCCTCTTGTCACTGGGGTGAGACCCTCAAGGTTACATCTCAGCACCTTTAGTCAGGGAATATAATTGTACCATAATCCACTGAAATTAGATTTTCTAAGTTGTATTGACTTCACACACCCCGTCTCATCTACAGGCTTTTTATTTTATTGTTCTGTTTTAAAACATTAGGTTACGAAAAGGTATACATATGCACTTTTTCACTGGGAAAAGCTTATTTAAGGTACACAACTGGACCTTAAAACCACTGTTGTATCTTCGAGGGCACATTTACATTGTTTGTACCTTGGTGATTGAAAAACATACCTGCACAGAACCTTTATTTCTAACAGTGTACGGCAAAAGTTTAAGGGCATTTTCACACGAGAGCTTTCTTCCAGACCCAAGATCACTTGCTGTGCAAGTTCGGTATGTTTGGTTGAGTGTGAAAGCTGTTTTCAAACTCTTAATGTGGTCTCCTGCATGTGTGGAAGCTATCCACTCCCAGCGCCATGTGTAGGGCTGTGTGATTAGTTTATTTTGTAACATGACTATTTTTTGCAGTATATACCATGTAGACTAGCCATATGATAGTCCCATGTTATCACTACTATGCATCAGTGTATGCTTAATAAAACCACACTTTCATAGAACTGGAGCAGGTTACTGTAATAAGCCAACCTTTGTGGAGTGAGCGTATGTCTCACGCTGTCCTGCACGGAAACCATCTCATACGAGAACACCTCGTTTTCAGGCACTCCTGACATTCAACAGTTGCTGCTCTTCGCCGGTTGAGTGTTTGTATCCAAGGAAAATAATAAAAAACAGCAAATGGATGAAGCTATGTCAGGGGTCAGCAACATGCGGCTCTTCTACTGCCCTGTTGTGGCTCCACAGCAGAATTCGATTTTTAGGTAAAAATAAAATAATCCTCCTTTGCAGTAAAATAAATC